AGAGAGAGAGAGAGAGAGAGAGAGAGAGAGAGAGAGACTGCAAAGATCATTGGTTGTTCCCGTTTCATTCAGATAAAGTTCTCTTGGACAGCTATGCCAGTATTACTTTCACTCCGGTGTGCATTGTTGTCAGGCACACAACTTTCGGTTGTAAATGTGTACATGGATTGGAAAATGAGTTTTTTAAAAAAAAAATACTATTGTATTTGTGAATAGTTGTTATGGAAGATAACCTCTAAACAAAGAGTGGCTATATAATTATATTTTGACAATCTGCAAAGGAATCTTTCCAACTGTTAAAAGAGGATTGATTCCATGTTAATTTTCATATTGTATTTATTACTCTTTTCAAACATGAGCACCATATCAGTTTTGCAGTCAAGAAGGACCTGTTCTTTCCATACGGTTGAGAATAGCCTGTGCTACAGGCCAATCTGCCTTCATTGTTTCCAAGGGGACTTGCTCAGGTCCTGCAGCTTTGCCATTTTCAAGCGGTTGAATATTGCATTGTTCTCTGCTTTATTTGGCTCAGGTTCACAGGCAATATTGGAGGATGGTCCTGGATCAACTAGTTCCCAATCTAATACAGCTGATGGATCACATTTTAAGTCTAAATCAAAATACAGTTTCCGGCATTGTAGAATTTTCTGGCTGTTTTAGCAACTCACCAAGTTGCTTTGCAAATGCTCATTCTGAGACCACTGGCCTTTACTGATAATATTTTCCAAGTTGAAAAGAATGTCTCTTGGTCACAGTGCCCAGCTGTTGCCAGCACCTCTGCAGCTATGTTATCCACATAAGGCTCCTTCTCACTTCTAGTTTTTTTTAACAGATTTGTTTTTCAGGGGTTTGGGGTTGTTGTTGGGTTGGGTTTTTTTGGGGGGGGGGCTTTGTTGGATTTGCAAGATTCTCCAGTCATCTGTTTTTAAGTACAGTCTTTCTCCCCACAAGGGCAGATAATTTCTCTTGGTTTGTTGATGGTGTCTCCGATTTCAAACCACTGCTCCTCCACATTGTCATCACCTTGATCTGGGAGCAGGACCTTAGATCTGTTATACAGTGCTATCTGAAACACTTCATGGTGTTGTTGAAGTGGTAGCAAGTTCAACAGGAATTACGATGGCAGCGTGATATTGCTTTCAATTTCAGTTTAATCCTGCATCAAACCATGTGATGATCAGACCCTTCTTCTGCACCTTTCAACAACTGGACATCATTAGCAGCAGACCTAAAGTGTTTGCCAATCAGGAATAGAAATAGAATGTAGAAGCACCGCTTAGTGCTTGTGAATATGAAGTTAATTGATGATTGGGCTTGGCTGGAATAAACTGTTGCAAATGACCAGTGAGTTTAATGATGAAGAGCAATCCAAGCCATTTTTGTTCATGCTACCAGACCCAAATGTGCTCACAATTATTTCCAGGCAAACCACAGTTTATTAATCTGGGCATTTAGATCACCCGCCAAGATGAGGAAGTCTCTTTTGGGGGTTTTGTGGTTCAGTATGAAAAAAATGGTCTGTTTTGTCTTCACTGCATATCTCTTTGGTGCATTAGGGCCAAAATGATAGGAATTAGTATGAATTCATTGAATTAAGGGATCTGTCAGTTTTCAAGGAATACCCTTTTCTAAAGGCTGCCTCCTTAATGCAAACCAAGGCCATAGAAAAGCCTCTATAAAAAAAAAAAGCGAATAGTGTCAAACCCATCACAAGCACGTAAGCCAGCACAGTTATTTCCCACACATTATCAAGAAATCAAACAAGTGTAGTAGAATATATACACAAGATAAGGTTCCTTTGCAGGTTTAAAATGGCAATACAGCCCAGACTGCTTCAAAGGATGTTGTTGAGTTGTTTTATCCATTATCGGCTGTGAATCCTATTGCTTGTAGTAGATATTCACACCAGAATAATACAGGTGCAATAATTTGGAACCATTTAGGTTGTAAATCTCCTTCCCGCTAGATTGATGCAGTTGCATCTCAATTAAAATTCTCTCCCCACTTGGATGCCACTTAAGATGTTCTGTGTGTCAAGGTTGGCAGTATTCTTTGGTGTTGCAATTTTCTGGGTGATGTCCATAACCTTAGGGCAATGTGTTGCCCTGGTATCCACATGGTAACCACTAGCCACAGAGATATGTTACCTAGTATTATGCATTTTAATATTGTCCTGGTAATTTCCAATACCAGCAAGTCAATTCTTCCAGACATAATACATAGTTTTCATTCATTTGTGACACGGCGCCATAGCTACATAGTAAAAAAATTCATACTGCTTGGCAGAGAACAACCATAGTTCTTAGGCTACCTCCCTAATACTATGTTGATTATGGATGGAGAAGTGAATGTAAGTTAGGGCTAGGCAAGAAATAAATATATACCATATTTAATCATAATTTTTTTACATATCATATAAAAGAATGCTAGAGCCATACATAAAATCAAACCAAACCCAATAAAATGTAAAAACGTATTCTATATTATGTTCCCATATATTCCCATTATATTCTAATGGGAAGCATGATCTTTCTTATTTTTCCATATGGCAAACTCTTTCTGAAATCTGGAAGTCAGGAGGGGGGGCGGGGGGAAGAAAAAATTAAAAATGTGCTCCTTTACCTTAAATTAGGTTCACTTAAAATGCTACAATTTGCAAAACATGGGCAGAGTGTCAATTCTTCTTGGCACCTTCTCTGCCAACTCAGTTTCACTGAAATCACAGGCTCCATCTTTTTTTGCTGCCTTCCTCCTCTCCTCTCCTTCATAGTCCCCACTGCACAAAATCAGATCTGATAAGGTTTTGCATAAAAGTCTTGTGCAGAATTCCTTATCCACTAAAAAGAGTTTTAAAGAACCACATAGAAGATTGAGAGTTCTGCAATCCTTACCTTGTTTTGTATACATCCTGCAAGAAGAGGCATTTTGGGTGACCCTCATTCATTGCCTTATGCACCCTGGGGAGTCTGTGACCTACTCTCTGAAAACACAGCCTTAGGCAATAAATCTGGCTACAACCATATAAGCAATTAATTGGGAGACAGCCCCACTGAATTTCCAGTGAACATGATTTGAATTAAGGCTTTCAGGCACTGTGGGCTTGTTGGTTCTTTCTTGGAAATTGATGGTTCAGCTTAGAACCTTTCCCTTACTTATTTCACTATGGCCAACTTCATATAACACCTCCAACCTAGAATTTTTGTTAATAAAAATATCCTTTTTTTTTCACCTATCAGTATCACAGTTTTATGTTGTGGTTTGGTTCACACACTATGGCTGGGTTCCTGTATAACTTATTGAATCACAAACAAACCTATTTTAACTGGGTTGTGTGAACCCCGCCTATGTATAATAGTAAATGGTTTCACAGTGTTAATTCTTCTGAACAGATGGTCCTATTTCTTTTCCTCTGTGCACAAATGCAACTTATCCTTTTATTTTCTCCAGTAACTTAGGAGTGCCACCTGGTCGAGGTAATTGTCCCTTGATGGTTCCTTTGCCCTTTGATCTCATTTATACGGACTACCATGGACTGCAGCAGATGAAGCAGCATATGGGCCTCTCCTTTAAAAAATATAGGTAAGAACTGGGGCTATTTTCTGCCATCTCCTGACCCTCTTGCAACATATCTGGGAGAAGGGATAATGACAGAACTGGCTGACAGATATACAAGTTTACTAGTGTGGAATCCGTTTCCCGTAGAAATAAGATCAGCATCCTCCTTGCTAATTTAAGTAGAGAAGGGATTTTTTTTTAAAGCAGGAGTTCTGGGATTGATATGGAAAATGTATGTACTGTAACTAGAATATGTATGGGCATTTCTTCTAAGAATGTAGTCATGATTACATTTTCATTTCTGTGAAGTTGTTATTATAATGTAATATGTTGTAAGCCACCCAGAGTTGTTGGATACAAGCTGGGCAGCAAATAAATGTCATAATAAATAATAAAGAAATAAATACACTGTATAATTTATAGTATACCCCTTTTGTAAATTACTGAAAACCAATTATTGAATGAAACTGCATTAAATCCCTATAATCATAAATATAGATAGTCCATGCTTAAAGTCACTAACCACACTATCTTTATTTCAATCTGTTACATCATCCCCCCCCTTTTCCTAATTTCACAGACACAGAACATATTTTTTTTCCTCCTTTGATTTCTTCCTTTCGACCCATTGCTATTTATTCCAATAGTGAAATTCAATTTTTTTTACTACCGGTTCTGTGGGCGTGGCTTGGTGGTGGGGTCCTGTGACTGAGTGGGCATGGCCAACTCAATGTCATTCATGGCCACAGCCACTCACAAGACGCCACCACCACCAAGCCACACCCACAAAACCTGATAGGAAAAAATATGTCTGAGTCCATTCACAGCAGAGCTGCTGCTCCCTTTATGGTCCCCCCTGGCCCCCTCCCTCCTGGGAACTATCTTAAAGGGACGGGCTGCAGCAGCTCTGCTGTGAAAAGAAGAAGAAACGTTCGGATTGAGTGGGCGGGTCAAGAGGCTGGAAGAGGTGAGCGGTAACAGGGTGACCAGGTGGGCGATGACAGGGCAACCAGGTGGGGCCACCAGGGATTTTTGCCACCGGTTCGGAGAACTGATGCCAATTGTCCCTGCTGGTTAAGCCAAACCGGGCTGAACCAGGAGGATTTCACCCTTGATTTATTCCTCTTACACACCAATTTGTAGTCTTTCCAGGGTCATGGCTGACATACAAAGCACCCTTGTGCAGAATTCCACTTAGCATCCCCTCCAAAAAAAACCACATTTTAAAAATATTTAAATATTTTAAATATTTCAAATATTCAAAATATTGCACCCCCTTCAGTTTCACAGATGGCCTCTTTCTATAAAATGGTGCTATGTGGCTTTGGAAGCAACTAGTGTCCTTCTAGGGAGGAGGGAAATGTCCAAGTTTGGGAACTTTAAGACTTGTGGACTTCAACTCCCAGAATTCCCCAGCCAGCATGGGGAATTAAAGTTCCCTTGTTTGGACACCCCTGTTCTAGGTACAGATTACAGAATAATAGAACTGGAAGAGACCTTGGAGACCCCATGCTCAAGCAGGAAGCCCTGTATCATGAAATGCCTTTGTGCAGGGCACAACTTATACAATGTGTTTTGTGATCCTGAATCTTCCACGTGCCTTGGTTACCATCATGTACTTTCATGTATACTTTCATGTACTTTTAGGGAAGAAGGCCACAGAATATTGATTCGATTACCTGCCTTATTTATACATGCAGCATTCCCTGCTAATATTGCTGGATGGTACTCACCATGCTGAATCTTTAAATTCTATTTTTTCTGCCTAGAGTACCAATTCACTTGAAATCTGTAGCCAGTATTTGACACTTCTCAGAATAGAAGCTAGAGTGATTTTGTTTCAATGGTTCTCTCTTAATAAATGGGTTTCGTTGTTTGCTTTTTCAAGGGAACAAAATGGATTGCACTATTCCCTGCTGTACCTGGACATCACTATAATATGCAGTTATTCCAAATTTCGAATGGGTCTGAAACTGAAAATCGCTTGAACATTTAGCCTTTCTTTCTCATTTCAAGCAGGGAGAAGTACATTTCCAACACATCCTTAAGATTTACACTTCCATTTCCAAACCTTGATTATCTCCATGACTGTGACAGCTGGTCAATTGCACCCTCAATAGTCCTCCATTCTGTTTTCCAGCTGACATTGTCACATATTATGTTGTGCTTACAATGAGCAAAAGAGCAAAGGGCAAAGTTATATATTGTTCTCATAAGAGAAATTATCACCACCACCACCACCATCATCATCTACCACAGGCTTTCAAGGGAGGAGGGAAGAGTTTGGGTGTTCTTTGTGTTTAGAGAGCAGGGGAAACTAATGGATCAGCCTTCTGTAAATGTATTCTGTAAACATCACAAACGAAAGAAAAAGTGGCTGTTAAAGGGACAAAGTCATATTTATTTTGCCCCCTTTCCCCCAGTATAAAAAGTAGAGGAAAACAAAGCAAAATGACCCAACTCTCTGTCGCTTGCCAGATCATTTGCTAGCAAAATTTTGTGATGTCATTTTAGCACCGATGGTATCTTATTCTTCTCCCACTTGCCACCTCCATATCCTTTTTGATTTTTGTTCAAAAATATCAGATCATGTTATGACTTTTATTATAAATCAGTTTTCTTTATGTGTTTTGGTTGACTAAAAGAGCAAAGTTGGGACTCTGATGCTTGTTTGGTATTTGCTGTATTTTCAGATCTTGCTCTCTTCCTCTCCCAATCCCAAGCTCTTTTGATTGGCTTGAGAATATTCAAAGGTGTGTGAGGATTGGGGAGGGATAAGAAAATAAGCTCCTCCCCTCCAGTGCCTGTGCAGCCTAGAGAGTCACTATAGCATGCAGTGGAAGGGCTCATCCATAGATATTCCATGCAAGGGGGAGCCCAGAAGAAGGGTGAAAACAATGAGAAGACTCCATCTCTTTTTTCTCTTCTATGCATATTGGTGGTTGCATGCTTCCAGAACAACTCTCTTTGTACTATTAACATTATACACCCATCTTTGATTGGCAAATAGAAACAAAAACCACAATGTACAGATAGAGAAAAAAGAATTCTTGTGCAACTATAAATGAAATTGGATTTTTTAGACTTATTTTAAAACACGGTGATTTAATTGAAAGAGGGAGGGGTGTCCTATCCAATACCTGGGTAATTGGGTGAATGAATTCAAACATGGAACTATGGAACAATCTCCCCGTGGAGATTCGTACCCTCACCACCATCCAGGCCTTCCGCACAGCCCTCAAGAACTGGCTAGCCCATCAGGCCTGGGGATAAGTTTATTTTTGCCCCTCCCGAATGCTGAGTGAATGTTGAGTTTTACTGTTTAATTTACTTTTGTGCACATTTCTTTTTGTATTGTCCTACACTCCCTTTCCTTTTTGATTGTAAGCCGCCCTGAGTCCCCTCAGGGAAAAGGGCGGCCTATAAATGTCTAATAAAACAAAACAAAAAACAAACAAACATCAGTAGAATGGGTAGAATCTAGTTCTTGGCTCACTTTATGTTTAGAGGGAGAGGTTGAATGGGGAATTTTAATGGAGAAAGACACTAATAATGATCCTTACATTTACCTTACAGTTCCCTAAATGGGACAAAACAATTCCCATCCATTCTAAGGGTGTTTGGGAGGACATAATATTACTCTAGGGGACTAGAGGCTATGTAGTTATGAAGTAGATTGAGAAGATTGAAGAAAAACACATAGATGCACTGTCAGTACATACACAGAGATAATGCAGGCTAGATTCCGTGATTCAAACTAGCATCCATTGCACATAATTTTTAATATAACATTTTGATTTGTAATGTACTTCCATGGGAACTGAAATCTGTCACCCATCCAGATTTGTGGTGAGAGGGTCTTTGTGCTTTTTGGGGGGGGGGGTATTGCTTGAGATCTTTTCTCTCCCCTGCCCTTCGCTTTACACTTTCTTTTGATCCAACAGCTGTCTTCCTTCTCTGAAGAAATATGTGATTGCAGAGGCTGTTTACAGACCGATATTGTTCACTGCACAAGCTTTTAAGTGCAAAATATACATGGAGTTGACTGTAGATTAATGGAGTGGCAAGTTTAATAGTAAAAGCTCCATGGAGTCTAGTGGCTCCGATTGTCTTTGCTGCATGCTATTCTGCATTTTGCAAGCTCTGTTTTAAAAGCACATTTTTTAAAATTCGTGAATATGGTTTCTCAAGGAAAAGAGAGTCTTAGAGCTTCTCCTTTGTCTGCATTAACATTTGTTTGTTGCTAGTTCCATTAGCTCAATTCTAAGCAGTTCACAAGCCACAAAATACAAAACATCTATCAATAATACAATAAGCATATACCAAAAACATCAAAATGTAACATAATCATTCAAACTGTAACAATTCCATCCCATAATCATAAAGCATTTGGGCTATTTTATACCAGATTACACATCACAGAGGCTTATTTCTAATTCATGTTGGAAAATCCAAGTTTTGATTGGCTTTCTGAGCATCAGGAGTGAAGGTGGAGGAGAGATCTTTAGAGCTGGTGGTGGGGCTTTTCACAGAAGGGGAAATCTCAGAAAGTGCTAATCTCCAGGTTTCCTCTCATTGCCACTTTTGGTTGGTGAGGACTGTCAGTAATCCTTCTGAGTAGAATACCTCAGGCAAATGGATTCTGTTCAGAGTGAACTGGTCTGGTGGATAACCAGGCCCCAAACAATAGCCGTAGCACTTAGATTTATATACTACTTCACAGTGCTTTTACAGCCTTCTCAAAGCAATTTATAGAGTCAGCATATTGCTCCCAACAATCTGGGTCCTCATTTTATGCATCTTGGAAGGATGGAAGGCGATTTTAAATATTGCAACAAGCTCCTTGAATTGCACCCAAAAACAAGCCAATGCTGGTCTTATAATCTTATTGTTACATAACAATATTGGCTTCTCCTATTAACATTCATGAATATGATTTCTCAAGAAAAAGAGGCTTTTAGCTATCTTCAAGAACAGGTCCCATTCAAGCTTCCGGTGGGCAGGGCCTGACAGGAGTTGTTGTT